CTTGAGAATAAACTTCAATCCTTGGAAAGAAATGTGCCCAACTGAAATGGTCAAGAAAATGAATCAAGTGCTCTGCTTGAACTTGGAAAAAGCAACTCTGATCGCACCTGGCTATGGTGCAACACTTTCCATTTGCATCTTAAGATAAAAAGTCAATGTGCCTATTGGGTATGTTAACAAAACAGAATGTGGACAGAGTTTAAGTTGAAGCCAATGTGCCCACCTCTGCTGCTTTATTCATAAGGTAGACTGACTGTAGTCAGAGCAGATCAACGCTGCTGCGCCTCATTTTCTAGGTGGAACCTGCATGCCTGGCAACCAAGAACACATCACAAGTGCATCATACCTGTCGTGCCTCAGAGCTCTCATGTCCACATAGACGGTGGTGGGATCAGGTCCTGAGGTCCCCTGCAAGCAAGGACACAGTGCGGTTAACTCATGTGCAGTGGGGGGAATCTGGGTCTGTTTCCTACAAGCTAGTAAGCATATTTTAGGTGAAATCTGAAACTGAACAAAAACTGAAAGCACTGAAACCACATCTTTTCATGATACCTGTTAACTTTCAGTTTCATAACCTCAGTTCTGAAAGGAACTTATTAGAATAGTACTGGACTTTCACACAGCTTGACTGTCAATCACATTTAGAAAATTAGAAAAGTGGCATGCCACATGTCTTTCCAAAAAGAAAAAGAAAAAAAGAAAAAAAGAAAAGAAGGCTGACAGTGCTGAGACAACGTTGGCCTGGCCACAGCAGGCTGTCAGGGATGTAAGGTTCATTCGCTGAGAAATTTGTTTGACTGTGTGTATCCAAAAATATCTAGAGCTCAAGAAACTGAAGGAGAACATGTGACATGAATGGACAGATTAAGGAAAAAGAAATGAGATAATTATCTTGTTCCTTTTAGTTCTACTTTAGTCTTGGTTTTCCTCCAGCTGCAGGAGGTTATTTTTGTCTGTGACGCAAGTTGGGGAGGCTTTGAGTCTACAACTAGTCACTCGGTAGCCTGAGCTATCTGACTACTTATTTAACCCAGCGGTTTAGAAATCTTATCTTGCACTGTCAATCCTTCCAAGTATATGCTGAGTTGGCTTCTGACCAGCAAGATCTGCCCAGGTAACAACAATGTCATTAAAGCTACATTACAAGCCAAATATCTACATACATTTCTTGGGAAGGCAATATAATACCTTGGGTAGAAAAAGATGGGACCTAAAGTAAATTTGCCAAACGGTAAGGGAGCTCCTCAGAATTAATTTTAAGAACTAAAATTCTTCAGGAGAGAATTTTAATCTTGTACCAAAGGCATGTTTATATACATAAAAAGTTAAAAATAAAGACACCTTCATTAAGATACACTATCCTATTAAACAACACTGGTCATTGGGATCTCACCACGAAGGCAGAGAGCACACGCTGCCAGCCTCTAGCTGGAAGCTCACGCTGCAGCACAAGGCAAGGAGCATTCTTTCTAACCTGTGACTATTCAGTGGAGCTGTGTTACAGACTAGTGCTGAGTGGAAAAGTGGTTTGATGTTCTGAGTAATGCAAAACACATAACCAGGGAGGGCCAATTAATCAGTAAACAAACCAGAAAACAGGTCACTAAAAGCAGGAAATGAACTAAAATGGAGATGACCCCAAACTGGCAAAGAAATCACGGATCCTGTACAACGAATGAAAGTACAGCACTTGTCACAAGTGTGAAACATTCGGACAGATCTGAGGAATGACATCATGCTGGGCACCAGTCCTCTTGACCACGTGGTCTGTAAACCCCAGTCAGTCTGTGCACTCAACTCCTAGTCTGCCCCACTGTGGGGAGTGGACAGGTCGGTGGTGGGTGGGCACGCACTGGTGTGGATGAAGAGGAAATCCCTACCTGCTCGGCCAGCTTCCACAGCCTGTGGGGCTATAGCAGCAGGAGGTGGGGAACAAGAGAAAGGAGAGAACACCAGACCAACAGAAACCAAAAACAAATAACACACAACAGACACAGAAACAAAACAACCCAACAGTCAAAAATGGGATGAAGAAGAGGAAGGGGTAGGGAGGAGAATGCAAAAAGCAGGGAACAAAGTAAAAAGAAGATCAAAAACAATGTCAAATATGGAAATTGTTAAAATCAATCACTGTACCATTAAAGGCTAAAAAAAAATCTTTTAAAAATGTCAACATATCCACAAAGCAACAGAAGAGAGTAATAGATGACTGGCCATGGACACACAGACCTGCGTACTTTTTTTTTTTTTTTTTTAATGTGTAAGGTTGAGTGGTATTACTGGCTAGTTTAATTTTATGGTACTTTTTTAAAGTTTCTTTTCTTTTCTGAGAGAAGTGGGGAGTATAAATTATGAAGTCGAGTGTTCTTCATTGAAATACTTCCAAGTTTCCTATTACAGTAATGAAGGGAGCTTGGAGGCTTTTACATCTCAACTCAGCTCAGGGTGTCCAGCCCCCTTCACATACAAGATTAGGTACAAGGAAGAGGCCAAAGCATGTCTGCAGCATGAAGGGGCCAAACACCAGGACACCAGGCTCCTGCGTGGTCGAGCTCAGCATCCTGTGCCAGCCCTCTCGGCTGCCATCCCCAAAGACATCTCTTTCCATTTTCTTTTCACTTTCTATGGTTTCGATACCCACCTCTATTCCTACTAAATTATCCACATCAGCATGGTGGGAAAACTCCAGAAAGCAACAACCCAGGCAAGCTTCTTTGATACAATCTGCTTTTCCCTAGGTGACTTAGGTATCTTTTCCAAATATTCCCAAAAATATAGAAGAAGTTATCCCATGGGCACCTGGGTTGATTCGCCGTTGCTGTGTCTGTATGGCCTCACCCAGCCCTCTTCCGACAATCCCATTACCAGGTAGACTCCAGAGGTGACAACAGCAGCGATAAAACAGCAGTCTTAACGTGGCAATAACCAAAGCCGGACTGAAAAATTACCACCACTCACCTTGGAGGTGACTCTTACAAAAATCAATGGTTCCAGATGTAAAATGATGATCCCACCCTCTTCTGTTCCTCCCTTCATGACGGTAACTATGACTACTGCTTTTTCTCAGCACCTTTATCTTTAAGAAACTGAGGCAGGACTCAAAGATAGAGAAGAACGGAATCAGTGAAAGTATGTGTGCACTTAGAAGGCACATGGGACAATAATGTTCATGACTTTTCTAATTCATAAATTTTGTTATAATGGCTCAAGGTTGTATTTCAAAAGAAATACATATGATTAGGAACTAATTTCCTAACTTGTAGATGTGTGGAGGGGATGACAGCTTCTGGACAAAACCGTCTACATTATTAAGGGCACATGAAGATGAAGACAAGGAGTTACTATGTAGGCGTTTCCAAATTTTGAACACACTAAGGTACCAGAATCTGAGATCACAATATACATATCAGGAGTGCTTATTTAACAAAGGCTTCACTTTGCTAAAGAATGCAAGCAGGATTTTCTTTAAATAAAGAGATCTCTAATGCACAGAACTAGTTCCAAATATTTAAAAATCATTAAATACTTGGACCAGCAGGAAAGCAAAGTTATTCATTCCAACCAAAGCTTATCAGAAATGAAAAAAACATGTTATAAATGGCAAATTATACTAATCAGAAGAGTATTAATTTTATAATTCAGTTGTATAATAAAAAAGTTACTCATGGAATTTCTAAATTATATGATTTATATACTCATTTATATAAATTATAGTAAAATTATTTTTTCTTATTGGTGTAAGAGAATCATACCAGTTAGGTACTAAGTATTTATTGGACAAGTGAATTATATTTAAATTTCAGCTACAGATCTGCAAACTCATATCTCAAACAGTACAGAAAATCCAGCACATACTTATTCTAACTAAGTGGTGCTTTTGCTTTTCAGTGATTCACATGCTGTACTATTAATATGATCTAGTAATAGCACATAGCTCCTTAAGTTTATGTAAAAGTTTTAAGTAGAAATGTGTGAAGTAAAGACACGATTTACTGATGTTGGGTGTATCTGCTCTGCTGCGTGTTTCAGAGACAAGGAAGTTTTCCCTCACTGGAGGCCACAGGGGGCAGTTTCTGAAGGAGTGCATTCTGGGGGGTCTACACCTGCAGCGCGTGGCCACGGCACGGGATTCACCACGGGGCCACACCAGCAGTTGAACTTTAAGAAGTGTTTCCACCTGCATGATCCCAAGCCATGTTCTTTGGTCCTCCTGGGAAATGTATTAACAAAAATCTTTTTCAACATTCTAACTGTGGTCTAATTTACATCCACTGAAATGCGCAGATTTTAAGTGTTCCGCGAGATGATCTTGATAACTGCGTGTGCCCATGTAACCCCCGCCCCAAACAGCATATTAAAATTCCTTTGCCCCAGGGAGTGAGTCGACCCATCTTCATACCCCCAACAAGGCTAAAACTTTCTGACTGCTAACACCGTAGATTAGTTTTACCTATTCCTGGGCTTCCCATATATGGAGCAACACAGTTATGGCCTTTTGTGTCTACTTCTTTCATGGAACATACTGATTTTGGAATCCATCCATATTGTTGTTTGTTCCTTTCCGTTCTAAAAAGTATTCTGTCGTACGTGTGTATCGTGACCTATTTATCCCCTGGTTGTGAACATTTGGGTTACTTATAGTCTGTGGCTATCATGAAAAAGCTATAATAAGCCTTCTTACACAAATGTAAGCAGATATGTTAATTCCTAAGTACATATAAACATGCTGTTCATAGGGCTAAAATGCATTTAATTTTATAAAAAACTTACATCGCTCCCCAAGTCAGCAATGAATGAGGGTTCTAGTTGGTCCATATCCTCATCAACATTTAGTATTGTCAGCCTTTTGATTTTAGTTATTCTAGAAGGTGAGAAATGAAATCACCATGTAATTTGTTTTTTTTGTTGTGGAAATCACAGTTTCAATATCGGGTACCACATGCTGTGCTTTGACTCATCATTTCCCTGGAGCAAAGGGTAAGAGGGCCTGTGGGAATTTCGAAAAATGTGAACATGTCTAAAAGTTTCACATCATCCTTGTGCAGGGGCCATATTAACTTGCTCTGTATGGTCTAGTTTTAGTACATAGGCTACTAGAGCAAGCACACCATGTGATTTTAATTGGTATTTTCTTGATGAATAATGATGTTGAGCACCATTTCATGTACTTTTTGGTTATTGGAATTATCTTCTTTTGTTAAGTGTCCATTCAAGTCTTTTTGTCCACTTTCTAAAAATTTTTCTTTTTATTATTTGTAGTTTTTAAATATATTCTGGATGGAATTCCTTTGTCAGATATATTACAAATATATTTTCCAGTCTGTGATGTTCCTATTAATCTTCTTAAATATAGCGATTAAAATTAATTTTAATTTTGATGAAGTCCAGTTTATCATGTTTTTCTTTTATATTTAGTGTTATCTGGGAACTGAAGAAATCTTTGGGTATTTCAAAGTCATGAAGACATTCAATATCTTCTTCAAGAGCTTTACTCTGTAAGTTTTATTATAGCCATTTAGATCTCTCATTCATCTAGAGTTAATTTTTGTGTATTTTATGAGGATGGAATTGAGATCATTTCATTTCATTTTCAGTTGTTCTAAAATTATTTGTCAAAAACCTTTTTTCCCCCTATTGAATGGACTTGGTGCCATGGTGGATCTATTTCTGGATTCTCTTTTTTTTAGTTGTGCTTTTCTCTTTTGGTTTCTCTTCATGACAATATCACATTGTCTTGATTATTTAAGTTTTTTAGTGAGCCTTGAAATCAGGTAGCCTGAATCATCCAACATTGTCATTTTTCAAGATTGGCTGTTCTATTTCCCTTGCAATCCCGTAACAACGTCAGAATCATTTTGTTAATTTCTTCAGGAAAGCCTGCTGTGATTTTGATTGTGATTGCACTGTCTCTACTGATCAATGAGGAGGAAAAAAGTCATCTTGAAAATACTGACTCTTCAACTCCCTGCTCCATGAATATGGCAAAGTCCTTGATTTATTTAAGATTTAATTTCTTTTAGCAATGTTTTGTGATTTTTAATGTATACCTTCATTATATTTATTAAATACTTGAAGTTTTTTATATTACTGTAAATAGCATTTTTTAATTTCATTTTTTAGTTATTCATTGCCACTCTATAGGAATACAATTAATTTTTATATATTAATTCTTATTTGTGTTCTTTTTAACTTCAAGTATTAACATTTGTCGTTTTTGTAGTTTTGTAGTTAGGGTGTCTGCAAACCTGCAAATAATGACTAGTTTTATTTATTCATTTCCAATATTTGTATCTTTTTTTGGTCTTACCTCATTGGTTAGGACTTCTGATACTATGCTGATGTTCCTGCTTTTAGGGAAAGCACTCTGAATCATTAAGTATGAGATTAGCTACAAGCTTTTTGCTTATGCTTTTGTCAGATTGAGGAAGTTCTGTTTTCCTAGTTATCCCACAAATGGGTGCTGAAGTCTCTTAAATACATATCCTGTTTCCATTGATACAATCATATGATTTTTCTCCATCATTCAATTCATGTAGTGAATGAGGCTGATTGGTTTTTGAATGATAAAGCAACTTTGCATTTCAGAGATACAACCTACTTTGTTACAATGTGTTACCCTTTTTACATATTGCTGGACTCCACATGTGACTATTTTGAGAAATTTTTCCATGTGGGATATTGGCCAAGAATTTTTTTTTCTGGGAATATTTTTGTCAGATTTTAGTATCTAGGTTATGTGCACTTCATAAGATGTGTTGAGAAGTGTTCCTTCTGCTATTTTCTAATAAAAAGGTTGTTTCTTTTTAAGATTTATTTACTTTTAGAGAGAGAGGAGTGGGGGGAAGAAGAGATAGAAAAGCATCAGTGTGTGAGATACATCAATTGGTTGCCTCTCACATAACATCAACTGGGGACCTGGCCCGCAACCCAGGCACCTGCCCTGACTGGGAATTGAACTGGTGACTTTTGGGTTTGCAAGCCAGTGCTCAATCCACTAAGCTACACCAGCAAGGGCTGAAAAGGTTTTTTTTTTTAAGATTGGTATTTTCCCCTTGGAACCATCTGGGCCTAGCAGTTATATTTTTCTCCTCCTGTGAAGGTTCTGGATTATGGATTTAATTTAGTTATTAGATTTTATTTCTTCCTGGGTTAGTTTTGATAATTTTTGTCATTATTTTTTTTCACTTAAGCTGTCAATTTTGGGGCATACTGTTGTTCATAATAGCCTCTCTTCCTGAAATGTCTGCTCTATCTGTAGTGAAATCACCTCTTTAACTGCTAATACTTGTCTTGTAACCGGGAATAAAAACTTTATACTCCTCTGACTGACCATGAAATAGAATTAGAGTAAGATGTACTAACAAACTGATAAAAAGAACTCACATACTAACAGTTTCTTGTAAGCATATTGAAGGCATTAGCAGTTCCATTTCCTGCTTGTGCAAGAAATGGCCTTGACCACGACTTTGGTTGATGCAGATCACCCAGCTGCAGGAATCTGGCTACACTGACCACCTCCAAGATGCTCACGTTACAGATCCATAACTGGGCCAGCAAGGACACTGCCTGCATGTCCACAGTCCCTCCCCCTGCTCTCCTTGTTCTCCTTCTCCCTCCTCATAAAAACCCCTGCCTGCACTGAGATGTTGAGATGGACTTTGAGAGGAAAGTCTCTAATCTTCCAGGTTGCCGGCACCTGAATAAAACCACTTTGCTTTACATCAGCACCTGCCTCTAGAGTATTGGCTTTCAAAGTGGCGGGGTAGCTGGACCTGCATTCAGTTACAATATTATGTATTTTGAAGCTCTGTTATGAGGTGCATAAGCTTTTAGGGCTGTGTTCTCTTGATGAATTGATCCCTTCATCTTGTAAAATGACCTCCTTCGTCCCTGATAATATTCTTTGCTCTGAAGTTAATATATCTATTAATATAGCTTCTTTGGCTTACTTTTGATTAGCATTGGTATGGTGCAACTATTCCATACTTACACTTTTAGTCTACAGTCAAACTTTGGATCTTGAACATCTACTATCTTGAAAAATTTGGTTCTCAATCATAAAAAAAACCACATTTCGTTTGTTGAACACAACGTCAGTTCTTGACCCCACAGCCCTTTCATGCTGATACAGCGAAACCTCTGTCCTTAAACTTAATTTGCTCAATTTGCAATTGAAGAGGTAGAAAAAGAGGGAAAGGAGGATAATACTATTTCACTAGTCAACAAAATGTTTGAGAAGTAAAGAGAAGTGCAAAGTTTTATCAAGAAATATCACCCTGAAAAGAAGTAGCAAACTGTTCAATAAACTTGTTCAATGACAATTCAGTGTTTCATTTCAGGCAAGTGTTAAAACTCAAACAAAAACAAACATCATTGGATATGTTTTTAGTGAGAGAGAGGCCCAGTGAGCCTGAACCAAGTTCTAGTGGAACAAAGAGACAAAAGAGAGAAAGAACCCCTGAAGAACAGCTACCTGACATTTTTATGGAAGGGGACCCCCCCATTCCAAACAATAACATCCCTCCATCCCTCCTCTCCATATTCAGTCATCAATAGCTCTCAACATTAAAGGTAAGTTCTACTGTGTATATAAATTTCTTTTTTACTGTACATTTAATTTCCTTTTTGCTAAATTTTTATTTACATTTCATGTCCTTATTTTATTAAAAAATATATATTTAAAAAAATTTTTTTAGAGAGGAAGGAAGGGAGAAAGAGAGGGAGAGAAACACTGATGTGTGACTGGTTGCCTCTCACTCACCCCCAAGCCTGCGACCTAGGCCTGCGCCTTGACCAGGAATCGAACCTGTGACCTTTCAGGTCACAGGCTGGTGCTCAATCCACTGGGCCACACCAGCCAGGGTTTGTTTTTAAAGTATTTATAGTTTAAACTGTACATTAGACATGTACTGTATATATGAAAAACTAAAACAGGAAATCACATGGGGGTCTGGATCAGATTGACTCAATTTACAGTATTTGTAATGGAAAAAATAATTAAGTTTTTGAACAAATCGTTTCTTGAACAGCCTTTCAGAACAAATTAAGTTCAAGAACTGAAGTCTTTATTTTTATTAATTTATTTATTTTATAAGGATTGTATTTATTTATTTTAGACAGAGAAGGGAGGAAGAGAGGGAGAAAAACATCAATGTGTGGCTGCCTTTTGAGTACCCCTTACTGAAGAGCTGGCCTGCAGCCCAGACATGTGCCCTGACTAGGAATCAATGTGGGAACCCTTTGGTTCACAGACTGGCACTCAACCCACTGAGTCACATCAGCCAGGGCTGAGGTCTTTATTTTTAAAGTGAGTGTTTTGTTGAGAACTTTATATAGTTGGGTCTTCCTTTTTAAAAATACAACTTCATGGAGTGTTTACAGCATTTATATTTATTGGATTATTTATGTGATGATATTTATATCTATCTTTGTTATTTCATTTCTTATTCATTCCATCTATTTTTCCTTCTTTTTCTCAGCCTTTATGTGTATTGACTGTTTTCATAGGTCCACTTATCTCTTCTGTAGATGTGTTAGCTTTAACTCTTTGTTTTTAACATTTTAAAATTAGTAGTTACTTTAAGATTTATAGCATATATCTTCAATTTATTATAGTCTGTATGATATAAGAACTTTATAATAGTATAGATAGTATACTTTCATTTCTTCTCTTTTAACTTCTGGGCAGTTTTCGTACAGTTGACTTTTACAAGTTAAAAATTCCACAACATATTACTGGTTTTATAAAAGTAGTCAACTACCTTCGAAAGAGATTTAAACAAACAAAAAAATATTGTAAGTTGACCTATGCAGTTGCCATTTCCAGCATTATTTGTACATACCCAGATTTCATTCCCTTCTGCCTAAAAGATTTCTGTTAATATTTCTTGCTATGTGGGCCTGCTGGCAATAAAGTCTCAGCTTTTGTGAGGCTAGGAAGTTTTATTTAGCCTTTGCTCTTCAAAAATATTTCCACTGAATATAAAATTCTAGGTTGACAGTATTTTCCTTTCAGTATTTAAAGATGTTTTCTGCTTTCCTCTTTCTTACACGATTTCTGATAAGGAATTTAAAGTCATCCTATCTTTGGTCCTGTGTGTAA